AGTACTGTTGTATGGTCAGTACTGTTGTATGGTCAGTACATTTGTATGGGTTAGAAACGTGAATACTTTCAGCAAACACCAGAAGTACAGTAGGTTATGTAGCCTCTGATATGTGACGCTACAGGACAGTCCCTAAGATAAGTTGTACCAAAGTATTAATATCGACAGTAACACCGATATAAATACTGGAAATAAGAACAGTATATATTTAACCGTATAATTAGGGATGAGGGAATGATGGCCGAGATAATCATGGATAAAACTGAGTGTAAGAGGGAAAGGCATAGATTTAATTAAGTGAATGAAATTAAAAGCTGGGTCTTCGAAAAGCTGCAAAATCTGAAAGGATTAGTAAAAACGGCCAAAGCTTAGACATGAGAATGGCACTTTGATTAATTGATTGATTAATTGGTTGCTGCGAAACAATTAAAATACTGATAACTATTTCACTTCCACTCTCAACTCTTATAATGAAGAAAAGTTGTGGACTTGTGGTAGTCTCGGTACACTTTTGACACTAATACAACTGCCAACTGTGTGTCTTCCCTTAAGTGCACCAGTTAGGCGCGTTATCACATCTTCAGTTAGGTGGTAAAAAGTGAAAACTCCTTTGACTGGTTCATTAAACAACAGCAACAAAAAATGAGAAGCTAAAATTTGAGTTGGAAAAGTTTTGAGAATCTGGGTGCAGGTTCCTCTTTCTGGCCGTGGATCCGGATTCACAGTGATTCTCTACGTTGATCTTGATTCTTATGTGGCATTAATTGAACGTGTCTAGTTAGGATGGGGGTCTTAGTTATAACTCTAATAATATTTTGCACTTTACTTATGTGCTTTAGCTTAAATCCTCAGGTCAAATACATCATGCATTCTTACATAATTTGTTACGAAGAAAATTCAAAGTACGCAGCTTTGAGAATCCGGGTCCTGGTAGAGGATCCGGTCGTCTATTCCATGCCTGGGAGACGATATGATTATGCCTCCGCGAAATCAGATCCGCAATCCCGCTTGAAATATTGGCTAAGATCCTATCTGGCTGCATCCACGGATGGAACAAATATGTTTGTGTCTTGGGCGGAGAGGAAGGAAAGACGGGGCGAGGAGAGGTAGAGAAAGATGAGTTAGTTGTCATCGTTATACAAGAACACAAACTCAGCTATGAATGATAATCAATCAAACAAATTAGTAAATAAAGAAAATTTACACACTTATATATAAATAAATAAATAAATAAATAAATATATATATATATATATATATATATATATATATATATATATATATATATATATATATATAGTTATTTATATATATATATATATATATATATATATATATATATATATATATATATATATATATATATATATATATATATATATATATATATATATATATATATACTGTATTGATAGGAAGATGGAAAGAGAGACTGTGAAACATTGGCTTTTGTGAGATCGGGGAAATATTGCAGTAATTTTCAGTGAATGTGACTCACCCAGGGACACAACACAACTCCAGAATTTCCCGGGAATATCACAGAATTACTAGTTTCCAGCAGATGTTTCCTGGATTTTTTTTTCGCCCTCTCGAGGCGTCTATCTGGGAGGGAGGGGGGGGGGTCAATACACTACAGAGTGTTCATGAGGCACCTGATGGAACGACACATCTGATGGGACAATACACCTATTGGAACAACACAATTGATTGGACGACGCATCTGATTGGACGACACATCTGATGGGGCGGTGCACCTGATGGAAAGACACATCTGATGGGACAGTGCACCTGATGGGACGACACACCTAAAGGGACGGTGCACCTGATGGGACGACACACCTGAAGGGACGGTGCACCTGATGGGCAATCTCACACATACACACGTGTCTGTGTAACCTTTAAATCTTAAATGATCATGTAAAATGTTTTCTACTTCTTTCATTATACTCGTAAACACGAGAACAAAATTCATCATGATAATAGTAATTACATTTTCCATTCCTAATTCAATAATTAATTTTTTATCGTTAGATGAGGTTGCTGTATTGGTAATTATTCATTTAATATTAAAGGTGTATCATTTTCTTTCCAGCTGCATCAATAGCTCTCTAAATGACGTTTTAAGTGAATGACCGAAAAACTCATTGATTCACTATAGGAAAAATTTATAACTGTGATAGGCTGTTAGAAATTACCAAGTTCACCTAATTTGACCTTTATCACTTAAACTGAACTAAACTAAACTTAACACGCGGGGAAATTGGCACTTGACTCATCACTGAAGGAGCAAACCTGAAATCCACCCTTACACAGTAAATCGTTCACACTATAATAGGAAGGATTTTTATCTTTGTTTAGAAAACAATCAATATTTTTTTCAGTAGAGCAACATTCTCACTATGAAATACTTGATAATCAGAAAATAGACCTTTTTGACTGTTGGACGATAAAAATAAATAAAAGCATAATTCTCCCTCCAGCAAATTTTTCGTATTGTCTTTCGGTAAAAAGACCCGATATCCTTTGTTCATATAGTCTCAAAATATTCTTACGATGACTCTTCCTCAATGAGAGTGTGTATACTTCAATAATTTAATTAAAACACGAAAAGAAAAAAAGAACATTATTACCTCTGAGACTACACTTAATTACTTACGTACACTTTACCAATTTAAAGACAAATTGAATATAATTAATCTCTTTAAATCGTATACATAATTTATTCTAGTAACTAATATTGAGCGAGGAGTTTTTTTGTTTTTGTTTTTTAACGGGCATTAGCCCAGCCGGGCATAGCTCACTGACCCACATCAGGGCCAACGTGGGATTTCCTCGCCTCATTGGCCATTCTGATGGATAAAACAAACAAAAGTAGATTAGAATATAAGAGTATACGCATATTTATACAAGGAACACAAACTGTTTGGGAAAAGTACCGGTAAAATAAATAAACAAAAGAGGAAAATTATGAGATCTGATGAATGAAAAACGTTATACAGAACAATACATCTTTTAAGAAAAAATAATTGTATTGAAACTAAAAAATAAGAAGAATAAAACAATGTTCTCTGGTAATAAATAAACATTACATTTTGAAGAAAAAAAAATGTTCCGATGATGTCGAAAAGTACGGAAAAGAACAATAGCAACAAGTCATGAGAACATATTTCTATCTTACTTTAAAGACAACAAGCAAAGACAATATAACAAGCTCGAAATTTAAAAGAGAAGACTATGAGTTAATAAAAAAAATCCTTCTAGAATATTTTATCTAGTTCGTATTATAATTGGGATAATGGCAGGACTTGATAGGAAAAATTATATTAGAAGAACTGTGTCACGAATTAATGAACAATGTGTAAACCAATGTCTTGAAAGAGATTCAAGTTTTGTATAGTGTACTGGTGTCATAACAGATCAAATCCATTCCATAACCAAGAAACGCAGTTATTTGAGCATCACAGGTGTTTTCTCCATACTCATATTTATATATTAAGATTCAGTACAGCTTTTAAACTTATGGTGTACTCATTTATATACCAAATTTAGTATATTCTACCGAATCTATCTCCATCTCTCAAGAACTGACTGCAAGACAGCTAAAAGAGACAATCAATAACTATAGCGCCTTTCTGAAGTCTGTATTGACCGCGCAGGAGCAGTAAGCCAACACCCACTTGCGGCAGATGTACGATAATAACGGAGAAAAGTCTAACGCTTGTTGCAAAACGAAATAAATCTTGTTTTTTATCGTATATTAAGATTATGAAATCTCAATATATAGATATATTATCTTCGTATTAAAAAAAACATACATCAGGTACGTGTATCAATTCATATACAGTATATGTTAATTAGCTTTAATATCGAAGGAGTAATATTAGTTTGCAAAGTTCAGCGGCGCTTGTATTCTAGAATACGGTAATATGATTTACCTATAAGCTTCTTCTTTGAATGTAATAGTTATAAGGTATTGCTAAATGCCAAAAAAACAAGTCGTTGTTTGGAGCCATGGAAGTTGAATTTAGATGAAAATAGTTTCCAATAAGCCGAGTAATATCGTCACTCAAAGGTAGTGAAAAATACAATAACATTTATTTTATTATTGTTAATTAATAAGGTAAAATTGTTTAAAAATCAAAGACTTTTAAGGCTATTTGATAAGGGGTATGCTTAAACTTTTAAAAGAAAACGATATCTTTGTGACATGCGTACGAGAGCAGCGCTGCGGATAAACAAGGTTCCAGTAACCTAGGGAGACGAGTTTCAGCAGTCAGTGCATTGTGACTCGTTGGAGGGTGAGCACCTAAGCAATTTGGGCAAAATGACATTATTTGTGTTTTATTCTGTACTTCATAGTTTGCTGTGGGCATCGTCATACGCTGCCGGATATGTCGAGGTGAGTAAATTGTTTGTTTTGTGTGTATGTTCTTTGTTATTGTGTGTGTTATTAACATTTGGGCGAAATGTCCCTGAGATTTCTGGGCAGGGCAGCGGCGATGGCGTTCTCATCGATTCCCCGACACTTATTTTGATAATATTGTTTCTTGAAGTAGAGTGCCCGCATGTTGGAACTTGTATACGAATCATGGTATTGGATGGAACATAAGTCATCGCATATAGTTTCATGTCAGAATTATTAGCGTACATTGCACCGAGAGGAACGAAATTCCCAGCAAAACATTATCTGGTAACTTAAACCACCTGGTGGGGGTGGTGGAATGCCATGCCATGCCCATCACTCACTCCTTTATTCTCTTCTCTTTGAACACACTTGAACTCTTATGATCTACGTAGAGGGAGGGAATGAGTTAAAAAGAAGAGGTGTACTGTATGTTGACCGGTCTTTGGTTAGCCGGGATATTTAGAGATTTACCTGCTGAAGTGAAACAAACTAAGTTTCAAACATCAAGCAGGAAATGCGATGACCAAGGTTAATAATGATGCTTGATCTCTTGAAACAAATTTAGGGTGTGATTGTGTGATATATTATGTGAAAACTTGAGTTAGGAATGTAGATTTGTTTACATATATTCACTTTTTAGTAATATTTGTCAAATATGTAAACAAACACTGGATAATTTTGGACTGATTCATTTGTTTATTATATAGTACCTCGCTACATGAAATATTAAAGGTCAGGAGGGTGGACACAAGTAAAATAATCAATAACTATGTTGAAACGAAGGGTTCATCATTACAGCGGAGAAGAGAGGAAAGTGATTTTTCTAATTATTTCAGTGGGATATGAGTCTTCATTGCTTTACGAATATTGACAATAGGTTTAAGAGTGAAAGTAGTAGGTAAGTTTGATCAAAAATAGAAAAAGGAGACTGTAACCACTCTACTCTGCTATTTTATAGAAGGTGGGTATTTTGCAGGATTTCTGGGTAATTATTAAGTTGGGAACTCGCACTTATCATACTTGAATAAATTGAAATCTACAGTATTCATATATTACGTGTAACATCAGATGTACAGTACAATTTATTCATAAAATTGGCATTAAACCCAATATCAATAATCTTCATATTTGGTATCCCTTGAATGAAAGATGGAATGATCATCAGTTAGTTTATTTTTGTAAACATATATTGACCTCCACATTAGCTGTAACATGAACTTTGGTGAGGTCATGGTCAGTTAATGACCAAATTACTACTGTAGCTCTGTGATCATGCGGTATGTCAGAGACTGCTCTTTCACAGTCAAGACTTTCATTAACATATTAAACCCAGGCAATTATGAATGTGAACAGTGGAAGTGGCATCTAGATTAAAAGTGTTGTGTTGGAAAGGATGGTGTATCACCTCATTAGTGTCAACCTTAGCTGGGTGCACCACTATCTGTCATCGTGTGTAGTAGACATCAACAACAGAATTTTCCTGTACTGAACACACATCTGCTGACAAAAGAGAGCCCATTCCAGGTTAGCCTAACAACGGCATGTGTTTCATTGTTTCCACCATGGGTTCATAAACAGTAGTGATACATTTAGTTTGGAGTGAACTAGAACAGTTACTGATAATCAGAAACTCAACAAGGTATAGCTGCAGAAGTTATTATAAACATATTTAATGCAGTATTCAGAAATTTATATATTGGTTTTAATTGTTTTTAATAATGGAATTGGTAAATGTTAATGCTAATACTTAACAAGATGATCACTTTTAAAGGGGTAGTTTTTGGGATTATGTTTATAGAACATTTGTTACTTGAATGTACATTTCTTTTTGGTATCATATCTGGTATTCAAATTGCTGATTTTTGTTATTTATTTATTTATTCATGAAATGTCAAGTAGGCTGTTACCTCAGTGCCTTCTGAAAATTGACAAAAATCATCACTGAACTTGATATGATTTTAGAAGGAATGGATCATTGAATAGCTACTGCTATACAGTAGTGTACTTTGTTTGGTTAGTCACTGTAGTGGTTGTTTCCTGTTAACATCAGACATAATCCAGTGATATATTTAAGGCCATGACAATCTTGATCAATTGCTATGTAAATCAAAAGTAATTTTCTTGTAGCTTTTACTGTGGATCTCTTTAACTGCAAGTATGCTACATTTTATTAATAAATGTTCTATAAACGACTGAAATAAACTCAGTAACTCTGGAATTCCGGTAAAACTACCACTGTGATATATTGGAATTGGATTTTTATTTTATCTGTTTTAATTATCTCATAGAATACAAATTCATTGGGAAGAAATGATTGTGGCCTCTCAAAAATTTATTGTCATAAATTAATCCTTTCTTATCCATTGTATGTGCATTTTATGAATTAAAACAAGCTTACTGGTATGATTCAATTATAATTAAATTCTTCAGAAATTCAATTAAGCCACTTCTTTTACTGCCTTGAATATTGAATCTGAATCAGATTGTCGAAAGATGGAAAAGATGACTCGGAATTTATTATTTTTTTTTAAATGGCGAGTATACTGCTGCTTTTGGCAAGTGAAAAGAAACAGTTATGTCTTATTTTAATGACTCCTTAATACAGTACTGTAGTTGGTTTAGAATCTTGATTTTTTTCCCCTGAATTCTGGAACCTTCCAATGCATAGTGACTCCTCCCCAGGTGCCATTTTCTACACACCCTATAACACCTCTGAACTATACTTGATTTTAGTGGAAATCAGTGTTCAGTGGTTTGTTTTGCCAATATTGGACATACTGTACAGTATTTTACTTATTTTAGGCAATGGTTTTGGAAAAGGATAAAGTCATTGCATGCTTTAGGAGGTTTCAGATTTTTAAACTATGAATAATGATAAACCGCCTCTGAAAAATTTGTGGGGTGAACCATCTGCCTTGAACTAAGACATGACCGGAACATCACTGAACTGTGTTTATTTCTGTTGGGATGAACTTTTTAGCATTATACATACACTCATTTTGGCAGAATTTGTTGATTTGTTTCTGATAAAATTAGACATACTGTACCTGGTAGTTCACGAGTGAATTTTGCCAATTGGCTCAAGTAACAAAAGTGTGGAGGCCATGGCTTACCTGCTGTTGCCTTTGCAGATTCGATCCTTTATTTTCTTACTTCCCCCCCAGATTTAAATTGTGTATTTAAGCAATTATTAAATCTGGTGGTTCATTCTAGATACAGGGATACAGTACTATTCACCAAACATAAAATAAAATGGCACCAGTGTCAGAATGCTTGCCTCTCACCACTGTGGTTGTGGGTTCAAACCTTTTTGTCTTATGTGGAAGAGTGTCAACCAGTGCAATCCTATCAAACATTACATGTTTTCTTTGGGTTATCTGGTTTCCTCTTGTATTAATACTGGACAATGAAAGATTAGCTAGAGTAAGAAAGAACTTGTATCTGAAAATATCAGGAGAATGAACTGACCCACTGTTGTCATCATCCCTGTTTTACTGCCTTTTTATCCATGTGAAAGCAGCTGTCCTTCCTGCATGATCTCTTGTTGTCCCTTTTGTCAGGTAACTTCTTACAACCTCTCCCCATGTTTTTCTTGGCTTACCCTAACTCTCCTCCTGACCATATTCAGACTTGTGCATCTGTTGACCGAGTTGATCTCCATTCTCACTACATTCTCAAACCATCTCAACCTCCCTCTATGCAAAACCCTGTCAATACTCTCAATGACCAGCAACCCTCTTGAATTGAACAGTGTTTAGTATCCTTCAACGTCACATTTTACATCTGTCTCACCATTCTCATTTCCGCTCACTCAAGCTTATGTTTGTCATCATCTTTGACTGCCCATGTTTCACTACCAAACAACATTACACTTTTCAGGCCAGTTGTCTATATCTTTCCTTTCACAGGAAGAGAAGGTACTCTTGCCATCAATAAAGGCAACATCTCCATAAACTTTTAGCCACTACTAAGCTAGCTTCAGCACTGATCATGTCACCCAGGTAGCAGAATTTAACAGCGTGGCCCAAGGATGTACCCCTAATGTCGGGTTTTTCCAGCTTGGTTAAGGCCATGTGATGGACTGCATATACAGTACATTATACATTGCATTTACACTTGGCAACATCTTGCAATCTGTCATTTTACATTACTGTACCACACTTTGCTGTTTGTTCAGGTAGCTACACTGCCCCTTTTCTTCTTATTTGTATTTGGGTTTTAATTTTGTCAGCTTAACCTTCCTTCCTAATAACAGCACATTTTTACCTAAAGCATAACAGTATCAGAATCTGTATGGCAAGATCCATTTTCAAGTTTGGTACAGTACAATATTACTCATCTTTTGTACCAGAGCAGCCCAAACCTGATATGATCTCATCTCCAAGGCTAGCTCATTATTGTATTTGAGAGGTACCCAGGGATAGAGCTTGTCAAAATTAGTTCCTGTACTGGTGGTAATTGTTGAACAAAACTATTCTGTACCATTACTTCTTAAAACTTTATTTATCTTGTTTCAAATATTTTATTGTGTGACACTTTTTATTCATGAAAGACCATAGTTATCCTTTGCTTTCCAAATCCTGCCCACACCATGTTGATTTAAAACAAGAAGCTCCTCATTGCTGCTGGAATATGATTGTGAAAAGTTGTTACAGAAGTTACTTTGAGCAACACAGGCAACATGTTTAGAAATAATGAATGCAATGGTGTATTTTGTTGCTATCGAATTTTTTACCATTGCCTATAGAGCTTCATTTGTGATAGCTTTAATAAGTTGTGGTACCTGGTACTGTACAGTATTAGAAAGACATTGTATTGCTTGTACAATATATGTCTTGCACTTGTTCAAGGCCTTTTAAGCTTTCTTCTAGGATGTGCTAGAAAAGCTAGACTAATTGTAATTGGTAGGTACAGTCTCCTTCACTTGTGTGTTGACAGGGGCTCATCAGGTTTTGTGCAGTGTGGCAGCACTATGTTTGTTTACATTTGACAAA